TCCATTAAAAATATCGATATTAGGAATAAAAACTGCCTTATCCAGAATCGCGGTAGCTTAAACTGCAGTGCATGAGAAAATCCGCAACGTTGCACTCGGTGCGTTGTTGGTGTTGGTGTTGGTGTGGCGCGGCGACGTTCATAAATTCGCATTGAGTCATGATGTATGATCTTCCGCGAGATATTCGACACGCTCGATATTAAAACGCACAACGCAGCGTGTACATTAGTGCGCTCTTATTCGTTGCCTGCTTCACGGTAAAAGCGCCCCTCTCCTTTGCCGAAACTTAAAGCAATTGGGAGACATGAAGAAAAAAGAGGAGGGGGGAAACTTTCAGGTCGCAATTGTTTTTGAACATATATTTTACGATGATTGGAACCTTCCAAACTTAAAATTATTAAAAAATAGTTATGTGCATAGGGTATAAGTGCTTCGTTGTTCCTTTATCTTTAATTCATTTGTTTATATTTTTAAGTTCATTTTGGCATATACGTATAGTTATCGGTTTACTTACCGGAGCAGTTTTTTCAGAGCGTGAATTTTGTCGAGTATAAAAGTATCATTTGTTTTCAAATCGATAGTTGTATATTTTTTCATAAAAATACACTCATATTGGTAGTAACTATTTAAAACGAAAAAAACTTCATAAACTTATAAATAAACATGTTAAAACTTGAACGCAAAACATTTTGATTTACTTTGTTTCTTTTTTTAAAGAAATTATAAACCGCCACACATTTTTGCAGGAATATTTCAACAATTTTTTAGTTGAACATTAACTCATGTAAATTTTACTAAAACAAATTCCCTGTTGGGGCAAAATTTCTAAACGTCAGTTTTTATAAAATTTTGTTTCTTTAGAATTTTCTTTGACAATCTGACAATGCTGGGCTTCGAGATGGCTTGTTGAAACTTTCAGTAGGTAGCTTTTTTCAAGACTAGATTTTCGAATTTTGAATTTGGACCAGCTATATCTGTGTTTTTGTTTGACGTTTTTGCATCTTCCTTTGCTTTTCATCATCGGTTTTCCTCGTGCCCTACTTGCTCGTATAATCACTGCCTCTCGGAATGCTAAAATCGCTTCAATTTGGAATATGTTGCACTCGGTTTCTTTTCTTATGGGTGGCCAAAAAAGAGAGTAGATTTTAAAAACATTTTGAGATTGTGAATAGCGTAAATAAAAAGAAAGTCTGAATTTTCTTTTTATGTATCATTGATACTCGATGTTGCAGCGTCGAGTCGTAGAAGCAATAAACGGAGATGGGAGCATTTTAATCATGTTGCATCGCGATCATGGATCGCCGGATGCGATTTATGACTGCGCTGTTGTATACTTGCATAACCGATTTCCTATCTCTTTTTGACACCTTGCCTCCTGTTGCCATATTTGAATTATTAGACCATTTGTTGGGATACAAAGCAGAGATTTAACCTTATCAAAACTATATAAATAATGCGAGACTACAGTTGCCTTTAATTTTTACTCATCCTAATTTTTAATGTCCATACCCCCTGAGGGGTGCCTTTTTTAGAGACAATAAATGGTTCGATCTCCACTGTGCGGCGGGACTTTTGAGCTGACGGACACAAAACAAGAGTACCTTCGTGCTAAAAATATTAAAATAATTTAAACACATGCATTAATTTGCATTGGTGTCTATGTGTATAACACTACATCAAGGAGAGTTTTACAAACATCTCAGCACAAAAACTCCAAAAATGTCGAATCAAGTCGAAATTTTAATGGTTCTGAAGTTTGCGCCAAAAACTGTACAATCGTGGGAATTAGCGTCATAAATTTTTTATCCCTATGTAAGGAACTTACAAGTTGACAGTGAAACTACCATACCACGTATCTCGTTAGCGATATTTAAAAATCGCTGCTCTCATTTTACTTATTGAAGGAGATAAAATCATTTTATCATAAGGAGATGATTATTCCTTGAAAATTTCATGGAGATTTCTTCCGACATCTGGGAAGAAAAATCCTGGAAGTTTTCCAGAATGGATGTTGAGTAATATAACTAAACCAAGCAAAAACTAAAGTATGGCAGCAAGTCTGCAACGCCGCAAACCGAGATTCGTTGTCTTATAGTTTAACCGTCTAATTGTCAGAGTTTAATCACTGAAAAAAAACACATTGGATCTAGAGTCCAGACTCTTGAAAACATTGACAAGAAAAAGGACTCTTGATTCAATCAGATTTAAGCTTAAATCAAAAGGAAATCCGCTCAAATTAAGAGGCTTGGTTCTTGATTTAAGATTAAAACTGATTGATCAAGAGTATTTTTTCTTGTCGATGTTTTTAAGATTCTGGACTCTAGATCCAATGTGAGTTTTTTTTTTTTTTTCCAAAGATGATAATTCACTCCCAGAAAATTGGAAAAAATTGACGAATCTGCTTCCAGTTTGTTATCAAACGTATTTGGAATACATATCCGAAATTTCCCTTCGTAAATCTGCTCCTTGAAAGCAAGCCATAACGGGAAATTATTTTCCTTTTCACTTTGACAACGGAGGCATCACGTGCCGTCTGGAGCGAATGTGTGACGGACGCTCTACTTTATGATGACTGTCGGAAAATAAATTGACTTGTAAGGAGGTTGCTTCTACTCGGAAATGGAGGATTGAATCAGTTGTGTTTCCAACACACCGTTCGGGAGCTGGCCTTAAATATGCACGTAAATCTTCGGATGAAAGCAGATATGATTTCAGAGAACTGCACACAATGCATGAACCACGGAAGATCCTGATACTTACTTAGATAAAATATGAAACGTCTATATCACGCAGAAAAATTTACCGGAATGCCAAAAGGAGCGTTCTGTTGATAATTTCCTCAATGGATCTCTTTCAGAGACAATCGGATTTCTTGTTGTCTCAATGGAATTTTCATTATCATGACAAGAGCTATTTCAGTTGTCTCAAAGTAAAATCCCATGGGAAAATTTCTCTCCACACATGATGAAAACGATGAGCAACAGTCATATGGTCGCTCCTTTGACATAAAGGCGTATCTCGATTTCCACGTGAGCCTTGTTGTCCGCATACCTCGTTGCTTTCTGAGGCTCTCGTTGAAATAAAAATACGCCCTTACACCAGAGAGGATATGATAACTATGAACAATCGATGCAAATTCATTTTCGTGCTTTTGAAGAACTTTTATATCATACTACAAAGGCAGTTTGAAATGAGACCGGAAATTTTCCTCAAAAGTTTTGCATTTTATTTTTGTTGCAATTTAATCTCACTTTTCCTAGTTGGGTTTTAGATTCTAAGGCCGTGTCCACACGAGCATGGTTCGCGGAACTTAGTTCGGGGAACTTGTTCCTGGAACAAGTTTTAGCTGCATGAACTAAGACTTATTCCTCGAAGCCCTGAAACTTCCCCCGTAATCCGAGCCTCTGTGTCTTTTTTTTTGTGAATTTTTTTGCTTTTGTTTTTCACGTCCGTTATGTCTTGACGTTCGTTTTTCTTATTCTCGCGGCCATGGTAATCTATTATTTTGCAATAATTGTATAGTTTTATATTGAAGTTCCGGTTCCAGTTCGGGCGAACTCGTGTGGACAGCATGCCTCGTTTTAAGGAACAAGTTTCTGGAAACTAAGCAGTTCGTCGAATAAGTTCCTCGAACCACGCTCGTGTGGACGGGGCCTAAAAAGTTAAGGAGGATGGAGCATTGGCCACTCAATGTCTGAAAAGTGTTTAATTGAAAATATGATATTTTAGCCTTGGTTGATCGGGAAACCTTTTGTTGAAATGGACCGCGTTAAGCAGAAAAGGAAGCAAGCCACATCAGCTATTTCCAAATTTAATTGAGCAATTTAATTTTTTACATGTAAACGGTTGTGCGAATTTTTGAGAAAATTTCAATGAATTTTCTTCATAGTACGAGGCAAATTCCTTAAAATTTTTAAAGAAATCCGCTCAAACGTTCTCTTGTAAAAAAATTAAATCACCATGTTAAATTTGGCAATTACTGACGTGGCTTGGTTCATTTCTGCTAAACGTGGTCCAAATAAAAATTAGCCGAAGTAGAAACTTTCTTGCGAAGAATGAAGGACTTTTCGTAAGCATAGCATAGCTGTAAGGCAGACTTGCCAGTGCAACCTCGCTTGTTTGCGAATTGACGATGAGACAAGGGAAATTCGCAGCTCAATTTTTGACGTCATAAACTTTCCGCCGTACAAGAGGGAGTGCATTCTCGTTGAACATACGTTAGAACCATACATAACTTTTACAGCAAGGCCATAGAGCATCAATTCTTGCTGAACGGGTGTTCTTTGTAAAAATCGAGGGTGTAACAATGATAACATGTCTGCCGCTTAAGGTGCCCTAACGAATTCAATCTTATTTTACTGTTTTAAAGAAATCATACTTGTTCATGCAGTTTTGATTCTATCAATATATTTAAACTATTAGAGAATACTCGTGGAAAATGTAATATTTACGTCTAGAATGCGGCAAGCTCATAAAGCGCCACAAATTGAGCTGTGAACAATTGTTCTATAGTTTAACCATCGATTTGCGAAGTCACGGAAAGGACATTTTTCTTATGAGGGAAACAAGGTGAGTGTGAAAAATGCTTATTGTTTCGCAAATCCAGGAAATATGACTAACAGTATACTTTATGGTTTGATAGTTGATATTAGGGATTTTAACTCCATGTCTTCCCATAGGGAGACGCCACACTGGAAAAAAAAACACATTGGATCTAGAGTCCAGACTCTTATAGACATTGACAAGAAAAAATACTCTTGATTCAATCGGATTTATGTTTAAATCAAGAACCAAGCTTCTTAATTTGAGCGGATTTCATTTTTATTTCAGCAAAAATCTGATTGAATCAAGAGTATTTTTTCTTGTCAATGTTTTTAGGAGTCTGGACTCTAGATCCAATGTGTTTTTTTTTTCCAGTGCAATCCCAGAGGGGTGGAAGACGGCAATTATAATTCTAATCCTAATTCTAATTGAGGATTTTCTAAATGATGAAAAGCAAGTTAAAGTATCACATGGCACTTAAATTATATTTGTTTTGATTCAAATTTATGACGATAAGACAAATCGAGTGATTGCGCAGACAAAACCACAAGGAAGCTGCAAGAAAAGTGAGAGTTAGGAGTTCATCACCAGGGCACAGACGTTGAACGTGTCTTTCCAGAAGATTGCAGCAGTTTTTCAGATAAGTTTACAAATATTGTACCTTACAGCCTTAAATAGATACAGTTTTCATTAAATTAAGCCTACAAGTGATTTATACACAAAGAAATAAAATAAGTTGTAAGATTGTTAAAAATATTACTGACACTGTTGACATATGTTTCCTTACAAGATATTGACATTTAATTGAAAAGTATAAAATTCATTACATGATTATAGTTCCCTCCGGTAAGGTTTAACATAATTATTGAACCTCAATATAAGTAAAAATTTGTTCGATTGATTCATTAGATTTTAAAAAAAAAATTCGACGTTTACTGATACGGAGGAAATAATACATACAGAAGAACTAAAAGAAAATATCACAGGAATTAATCAAAATAAATAAATTAAAGACACTTGAGCAAACTTCACAGAGTTATGAATGCACACTCAGTTATTGCACGAAATCAAATCGCATACAACGCAATAATTAAGGTGCTCTATAACTTCTGACAACATGAACCGCAACAACTACAATAGAATCAACTTCGTTGATTTTTTCAGTGTTGGAAAATCCCTTCCCAAATTCAGCTAGTCTTGCTCGACCGAGATTACCGAGCATACAAAACAAAATCAAGATCTTCATGAAATCCCTTCGATCGAAATTTCACACCTTTAAAATATTCTCTCAATCTACCGAGCAGTTTTTTCTCCATAAAATAAGTCATTATAGAGCCAAGAAAGTTTCAAAATTTGTAAAAGAAATACTTTGATATAAATTAACAAAGTTACGCAAAATCCCTTCTTCATTGTGCGTGAGCTTTATCATACAAGACCTCTTCAGATTTGTAGAACTCACGTAAAATCGCAAAAACAGACTTTTGACTCTCCATGTATTTTTAATTTCTGAAAGTCATAATTTTTCTTTAAAAAGACTCGATATGCTAGAATGTCACACCTTTAAAATGTTTACCGTCCACGATTTTAGTATTAACCTCGGGGAAAGGAGACCTGAGATTCAATCTAGTCAGATAATTAGTGGAAGGCACTCTAGATGAAGTTAGATCCCTAAAGTTCCAAAAAGCTATGTACGTACAAAACAGTCTATTCATACATAAGACACCTCTTCATCTGTAGGTCAAATCACGATGCTTCTATGAGAAATGTTTACTATCTCAGCTAAATTTGTCTCTCATACAAACTTTAAACTCCAGTAAACACTTCTCTTAGAAACAATTCATCCACATCTTGATACTGATTTTATGAGAGATTGCCGAGAGCTTCTGATCATGGGCATTTGATACAGTTAGATACTCACAGGTAATTCGTAATTTCAGGCATTATCTTGCAGACGTCTAATAATATGTACGTAAATTTAAACTAAATCATTTTTCAAAATTAAAGGACCTCACTGCCCTCCTCAATAAGCACATTCTTTAAGATCCATCATATCTACCGGGAGTAGACGTCCACAACACAGCCTGAAATTCCAAGTGCTGCTAGGCACAACACTTAAAGAGGTAACATCGCTTGAAATGTTTTCATAGACTTCTACCCTCGGGTCATCTTACTTCAACTTCAGGAATTTCACTAGCGCATCGTAGATAAGTGAGGGGTTCGTATCGCTGTCGGCGGTGTAACGGACCCCTCTGAGGCTACCCCCATCGTGGCCGAGGACTCCATACTCTCCCACGATGAACCCATCCGGCGTCTTCTCTTCCACCCGGTACTTCTTGTAGTTGGACGTCTCCAGGACGTGCCCTGCCTGACTGCTCTCTTTCTTCTCCTCCTCCAGAGATTGGCTTCGTTGGAGCGTTTCGCTGTAACCTTTCTCCTGCTCCTTGAAGACTTTCTCCTGCTCCTTGAAGACGTTCTCCTGTTCCCTGAAGACTTTCTCCGGCTCGCTGTAGACTTTGGCCGGCTCCGAGTAAACCTTGGACGGTTCCCCGTAGACTTTGGCCGGCTCCGAGTATACCTTGGCCGGCTCCGAGTATACTTTGGCGGGCTCGCCGTAGACTTTAGCCGGCTCCGAGTATACTTTAGCTGGCTCCGAGTATACTTTGGCCGGCTCCGAGTAGACTTTCGCCGGCTCGCCGTACACTTTCGCGGGCTCGCTGTAAACGATGGGAAGGTTCTTCGCCGATGGCTCGCTCTTGGGCCTTAAAAGTGACTTGGCGGTTTTCTCCCCTTCGACCTTCTCGTCGTAGTATCCGGCGGGATCTTGAGTATCGTATGCTTCGTACGCCTCGTCATACTGCACTTTTTCGGGCTTTGACTCCGCCCTACTTATCTTAAAATTAGCGCCGCGAGTCTCGGATGAAACTGCGAACTGGAAAGTCTTGGTCTCGGCCTCCGACTGGCGTGGTTCTGGCTTTCTTAAATCTAGGTTTCTAGCGCCCTCTTCGGGGGTATGTACAGATTCTGGCGCTTTAGGAACTAGACCCTTGGCGGGCTGCGACGCGAACGTCCTTGTGGAGGTCAGTCTGGGGCTGTTGGTGACCCTGAGGATGTCCTGGCGAGCCCCCACGACGAACTCTTCACTCTCGTCTATATTCAGAGAGCTGCGCTGAAGAGCCGTCGGAGAAGGCACATCCTGGACGTCCGGGGTGCGAGCCGGTGGGTCCTGGTTTCTGGTGACGGACGTGGAAACACTGACCGACGTTGTCTTTTCGTCATATTTAATCGTATTCTTGGCGTTGTCCTGGTTGGTGAGAGGCTCTATCGTCGACTCTTCTGTGGGTCGGAAGCTGGACGGTGAGAACGCCTGCGTGGTAGGCAAACTGTTAAGCGTCGGCGAGATGGGCTCGTAGCGATTGCGAGGCGCAAACTTCCGGTTTCCGGTTTCGGTGTCCCCGAACTTCCGGTTGAAAAGCCGCTTCCGGAACGAGAGTTTCTCGCCGAAGAAGCGCGAGTCCGTTGGCTGGGAGCGGGGCTCGTTGTTGGCTACCCTGGATGCGGCCCGCGGTGGAGAAGGTCGAGGACTGTCACTGTAAAAGAGTGAGAGGAATTCCTCGCCGGCCAGGACATCGTCTGTTGGCCTAGATGACTGCCGGGGCGACACGGTGATTGGGTGTCCAAGAGCCGAGCATAGCCACAGAGAAACCTGCAACACAACGATAAAACTCATATTAGCACAAAGCTCTGACCTTAAAGAAAATCTCTACTATTTAGAGGTGACGAGGTCTACAAATCATTTCTTAAGGGGAGGAGGAAAATGAGAAAACCGGTATTCTACGGCATGGGTAGAGTAAATGGACTGCGTTAAGTAGAAAGGAACCAAACCACATCAGCAATCGCTGAATTCGATCGGGAAATTTCATTTTTTTTTATGAAAACGGTTGTGCGGATTTTTGTGCAAGTTACAGTGAATATTATGCAAAGTACGAAGCAAATTCCCCAAAAATGTCAATGAATCCTCACCAACATTTTCTTGTAAAAAATTGGATTGCCTAATTAAATTTGGCAATAGCTGATGTGGCTTGGTTCTTTTCTGCTTAGCGCCGTGCATCATGTGGCGTAAAGATTTGGGCAGCATATGGACGAAAGACTCAAAAATTCCAAAATTTGATCCTATGGCAGCTACATTTAGTTTGAGGAAGAACAAAGGAGATTCGGAAAAGTTATGTTTGCCCAGGGCGTGGCCAATCATAGAGAGAGTTCCCTTCATATGCCGAAAACATCATTAATAATGCAAATAAGGGATTGAGACTTTCATCCAACGTTCTTGATGTAGTAGAGCATGTTTAGTTTTAAAAACTAAAAATCAACATCTGAAGAAGAATAGGCATTCAATCTTAACAATGGGTGGATTGCGTTTTGCAAAAAAGAACCACAAGCATTTCAATGCCGCTAAGATTGTGCAACTTTTTTAACCTTGCAAATATAAACTGATCATCTTTTATCTCTACTCCCAATATACTATGAATTCAAGACGAAAATTACCTTTGTAAATTCATTTTTGCAAGATTTCAGTAATTTGTTTGAAAAAAATGTAAATTGCACAATCCTGGCAACATTGGAATGATTTTGGTTCCTTTTTTCAAAATGATGTCTAGATGTTTAAGAGGGAAACACGGAACAGGGAAAAAATATCATCATCAATTTTAAGTTCGAATGTGTATGCAACGTGGACATTCTGAATTTTTAATAAATGTGAATGGTGGTGTGCTCCAGTCTTAGGTTTGTTATATAATTAAATCTCTCATCTGGAAATCCATATCTAAACTGTCATAATCCGAGTATTTTACCCCTGGGTACTTGCGTAATTGTGAATCTTAATGTGAAGTAAAAAGGCTTACAAGACGTTATATGAAGAATAACACAGTAGAATGCATACACTTAAAATTGTCAACAACCTTTAAATTAAACCAAGTTGTAATACTCATGCAATCATGCATCTTATTTGTACTGGATTTTAAACTTCAGGGGTCAATACCTCAAGACTGATGACAACGGATATGATTCAAATAGCACCTTAAAAAGCGGAATGTTAAGACCACCTCTCACTAAACTACTATTAATATTCTGGTTAAAGTCTCTCGGAGAGTTTCTTCCACCCCTGCCAGACAACGCAACCATTTTTCGATTAGCTAAATCATATGCATTGAAAAATATTCAACATACTATGAAAGTGATAGAAATACTGTGTCGAAAGAAAAACGCGCTTCATTAGACCTACACAGTCACCAAAAGATTAAAATAAACCATTTAATTTCAGTCAACGATTGGAGCTGCTTTCCAACGCAAGGTCGTTTAGGTACGGTGTTGCGACATGTAAGTGATTTTGAGGAATACCTTTATTTGCAGTTTTGGCAAGAAGTCATGCAGTACATTCCCTTTTCGGTATGAAGAAAAGTAACGACATTTGAGAGGGCATGAATTTTAACTGTTTCGGGGTGGAGGAGAGGGGGCTGTACTTTGATTTTCAATTGTAAACATGACCCACACGAAGACTTCAGCAGTTTTCAGTAAGCAGCAATCATTATAAAGCAACATTATTACATTCTGAATTCGGTCGAGTTTAACTTTGTACCAAGTCGCACCGGGCGTGAGTCGAGAAAATGATTTTTGAATCGAAAGAATTTGCTATATTCACCCTAGATGTACTTTGAAACCTATCCCCAAATGTTTCTTTGCCAAATTATGTGCACAAATACCTGGCGTTCTACAGCGTGCATGGTGTGATGCTCGTAAATTCTGAAGAAATGTCCTAAAATCCAGAATTCGCCGATTAATCGATCGAAAATCAAATCGCTCTCCAAAGCGTTGAAACTTGAAAACCACTTGAAGGGCAAAATCCAACTACTATTTTTACACCCAAAATATTTTATCTTAAATTTAATTTTTTAACAGAAGAAAAGTACACTGGAATTAAAAACACATTGGATCTACAGTCCAGACTCTTGAAAACATTGACAAGAAAAAATACTCTTGATTCAATCAGATTTAAGCTTAAATCAAAAGGAAATCCGCTAAAATTAAGGTGCTGTGTTCTTGATTTAAGCTTAAATCTGATTGAATCAAGAATATTTTTCTTGTCGATGTTTTTAAGAGTCTGGACTCTAGATACATCCATACAAGTCGCTTTACAGCACTCCCTCGCGCTCTACGACTCCTAACCTCCACTGCTCTCTTTCAAACCATAAATCTTGGGGGATTGAGCACCTTAACATTTCCGCTTCAATCCGTTCCCTCCAACCTTTCATTGGGCGCCCTCTTCGTCTTCTCCCAGGAGGAACCCAGTCAAGGACCTTCTTCGGCAACCTGTCTCCTGCCATTCTCTGGACATGACCATACCAAATGAGTTGTTTTGTCATAATATCATACACGATGGTCTGCTTGGCATCCATGATCTCCCGTACCGTCTCATTCCTGACGCGATCCTTTCTGGAAATACCAGCGACTCTAGATCCAATGTGTTTTTTTCCAGTGTACGACTAGTTAAAAGTATAACCACTCCAAGCTTTTTTGTTTTTAAAAAAAGAGGACTACGAATTCCTGTTGATCTCGATTCAGTTCATCAAAAGTTACTGTACATCGAGGTCTCGACAAAACAGGACTAATTTGAGCACCAACCGACACCGATGGATGGCTGTAAACGGGTTCAGATTGACCACTAAACTCTGGAGCGATTGAAACGTGACCACGTCGCCACGTCTCTTCGAGCACATGGGAATTTTAATACTATTAACCTCAAAGGCCGTTTATTTTCGCGCAAATCGCCACCGCGCTCGGACATGAAAATAACCGCACCCTGCCGCGCGGCGGTATGCATCGCTGATCAAAACATTTGACAATGAGATCGAGGAGGCGGGATTCTTGAGATTTTCCTCGTTGTACAGCACGGCGGATCGTAGGAACAGGCGATCTTTCACTGCGCTTTACTAACATCGCCGAGGGAGAAGGAGGGTTGTTCCACTCTGCATATTTCCATTTCAAATATGTGCAAGCGAGAAAGTTGATAATTATGAAAATCGAAATACTCTTCGGTAGGTAGATGATATTCCTCTGAGGGAGGACGTGGATTGGACTGCATTGGTAGTTTTGAATTTGAATTTTTTTCCCCCGCGAAATTATGAGTATTATTTTTGGTGAAAGTCGGGGATAGCTTATTCCGATCCGTCACGATGCCAATTTCGCTCCACGTTTTAGTTCTTCGGAAGGAAAACTAATGAAAATTGTTTTTAGGAGGGAAATTGGATAATTTTCTTTGTTATACAATGCAAAGTATTTGTGGAAATCTTGAAAATACCTAACTTGCAACCGGCTCGCGGCTCTCCCCCAAATAAATAAAATAATATAAATCAAATAAATAAATAAAAGTTGAGATTTTGTGTCTGCGCAATTTCTGAGATAGGTATCCATTTTAGTGTCACTGTAGAAACGTCTTATTTCAAGGCTCATTTAAACTCTTGATTATCGTTATGCAAAATTTTGAGCAACTGCTTACGAGTTGCCTGCAGACTGGCTTTGAAAAAAAGACGCTGACTTTTCCAGACTTTCCCTGACCAGAATGATCTAAATTCTGACAACTCATATTGGCAATTTACGTGTAGAGATTTAGAAGAAAATATTAAGAAAGATTTAGTTTTAAAAAATTCAAGATCGTACATTAACTTATGGGGGGAAAACTTAGTTGTGGTGAAGAAAATGTCATTCTTCGAGTATGGTGTGGCATTGAAAGTTACGACGCGCTTAAGGGATCTCTTCGGCTTAAAACAAATAGGAATCCGTAAAAATAACGTCATGATGCAACTATTCGTGGCTTGTGAACGTCCGTATTGCATACACGAAAAGTTGAAGGCGTTTGGGCCATCCTTGCTGAACCTGCGGAATGGGTGACTGCCTCTACAAGTTACCAAGTAAAGAGTTCCGAGATGCCGTTCAGCTCTCAAGGAGCAACATCTCTCCAGCAATTCGTTTAAGCGCGTCGCGCATAATGCTGCCTAGGCAAGAGTAGCGAAACGCCTTCAACTACTCGTGTATGCAACCCGGGCGTCCATGGAGTGCGAATAGTTGTATCAAGGCGTTTTGATAGTATAGGGTGAAGGACCGGGACCCTCACCTTGTTCCATCCCTGTCCACGAATGAAATCACATGACAGTATTTCAACGTGAGAGTTAAATTATGCGTAGAACTAAGAACAAACTATTTTTCGAATCAATTTCACAGGAAATGACAGAAGAAATGAACCGTTTTTCTTCAAAAATTTGTCATTCAATTAACTAAACTTGCGATTCCTAATTGGAACTTAACTCATTTTTCGCTTTTTGGAGTGTTACTCAGAGCATTAGACGTTGTATTCTCTCACGAGGAACGAATTGCCAAAGTTAAACCGTTGCATTTAATGTGAGATTCTTTAAAAGAGACCTTATCAACATGCTTATTAAGGAACTACTCAGACCTCCCTTGATCACGAAATTACCGATATCTCTTAGAGGAAAGAGCTATCGAAGAAAACACTGTAAATACGGCCCTTAACACCGAGTTCGACAACTTACGAACAAAATTTGAATCCACCTGCTCTTGAACCCGCCTCCAGGAGACGGGTCCAAAATTTGGATGTGTTAGTCATTACTGCATACCAACACGAAAAATTCTAAC